GCACTGGCAGTGCCCATAATCCCCACCGGTGGGACCTGCGGCGGGCACAGTCCTTGTGCCACACACCCCTCCTCTCCTCCTGGGGCATCCCTACCCCTCTGCCTTGCAAACTACTGTGCTAAGGGGGAGCTCGCTTCTCCTCTGGCCACGCACCCGTTCGAAGGGACCCATCCCCAAACAGACCCCTCTCCAGCCGCCCCCGCCGCTGCAGTGCGGCCGCCCCCGCGGGCAGCCCGCCCGCTCAGCCCGCTGCGCCCCGCGGCACTAATTGCCCGCTGCGCCCCGCGGCACTAATTGCCCGCTGCCGCTGCGCATAATCGATGCGATGCTGCTCCCCGTCGGGGCCGGCAGCCAAGGGGCAGCTCACCAAGCACCTGCGCCCGGGCTGCCGGCGGCCCCGTCCATGAACTGGGAGAGGGGGCTGGCCTGTCTGCGGCCCGCCCGAGGCTCACCCGGGAGCGGGGCCGCCGGGGCGGAGGCGGGGCGGGGCCGGTCCGGAGCGCGGCCGGTCCGTGCCGGAGATCGCTGTCCGCGGTGCTGAAGCCAGGCCGGGCCGCGCTCCCGGGTAACCCGCGGACGTAGCCAGCAGCGGGCCCCCCGGCCCGGGGAGCCAACGCCGCCGCCCGGTGCAGGAGGGGTGCCCGGTCCGGTGGGGCCGCTCCCGCCCGCCGGCGGTCAGTAGATGGCGCAGAGGCCCCGGGAACAGAGGGGCGACGAGCGAGGGCTGCGGGGGACGCGATGGCCCCGGCCGGTCGGGGCGGGCATCGCCCCCACAGCTCGGCTATGTGACCCCCGGGGTGGCCCCGGCGGTGCCCACGGGCGAGAGCGGCCCCGCCTTGAGCCTGTTTCATGTAAACGGCAGCGAGGGTGGGAGGGAGGGAGGACACGGCCCCCTGGTGCCGCCCCACCACGCGGCAGGTAATTAAAACAAACAAACAAACAAACGAATGAACGCACGAACGAACAAACAGGCAGGGGCCGAGCCGCGCTGCGGGGGCGGGGGCTGCTCGGGGAAGGGTTCGGGCAGGCCCGGCCCAGTGCGGAGGAACGCGGCTCGCCCGGCCCCGCTTCTCCTCCTCCTCCCGCTGGGCAAACATTAACGAAGGGCAAACGCGGCTGTAAATCAATCCCGCCGAAGGACACGGCCAGCAAACAAGTGCGTCCCAGACTCCCCCGAGCGCGCACCGGGTGCTGCGGCGGCGGGCATAACGGCGCCGGGGACAGCACGGGGACTGTTCTCCTGCCCTCCGATCTCACCGGGACGGGGCACCTTTCCTCGGCACAAGAACCGCTCCGGCAGCGGCGGAGCTGCCGCTGTCACCGCTCAGGGTGCGCGGGGCCAGGCTCCAGCCGTCCCCGCGGCGTCCGGGCGGTCCGCAGGGCCAGGAGGGGAAGGGTCTGTCCCCCGGGCCTCGGGGGCGCTCGGAGTGTCGCCAGTGAAGGCCCCGGTCGATGCCCTCCGCCTCCCTGATGCAAGTACGTTTATGCAAAGTCCCCGCCGGGTAAATATTAAACAGCCCCTAATGAGGCCACAGGGGCCGGGGCGGCCCCGATCTTCCCGGAGAGCTCGGGGGCGGCGGCGGGCGAGAGGTGCAAACGGCGTCATTAGATTTCATACTTAATGTGGAAAACGCTCTGATTATTCCATCGATTTCTTTACAGTTAATTTGGTGAGAATTTCTCGCCGGCTTCCCAAGGCTTCAGCTTAGCCAGGATTCACATCGGGAGGGAGAAAGGATAAGAGGAGAGGAGGAAAGGAGGTGCAACGACGAAAAACACCAGTCAGGTCGCAGGCAAAGATCGAGGAGCTTTGGAGGAACGGACTAGCCCCCGCCTGAGCGTGGGTCCCTCACGGCCCCTTCCCCGCTGACACCCACCCTCTGTGGGGACCCGCCACGGAGGGGCCCTTCGGGACGAGCTCCCTCAGAGGCCTCATCTCAGCAAAGCGGCCACTCCCTGCAGCAGATCCTAAGGAGCCTTGGGGTCCCTTACACCCCTCTCGTCCGTTCCCGAAACGTGTCTTTGCAGCGTTTCTCCCTGGCCGCTGCCCTCCCTCCCGATCTGCGGGCAGCCCGTGCGGGGCCGGCGGACAGACGCGGTTCTAACAATAAATGGCTCAAAGCAAATTATTTTTCCTGAACAAGACAACTCGGTTTTTTTCCTTCTTTATCCCCTCTTGTTTCCTTTCTCTCACACACACACAAAAATAACCTGAAATAAATTCACCCTTATATTCTGGCAGGTTGCACAAGTGATGTAGTTTTTCTTTTATTTGTATTTATTTTTTTCAGCACCCTTTCACAGCCCTTCCAAATGTCAGTGAAAGAGGGGGGGAGGGAGGGAAGACTAACAGAAACGGTCAAACAGACAAATATTCAGTGATAGAGAGGAGAGAGAGAGAGTGGGACAGACAAAGGAAAAGAGAACAGAGAAGAGAAGGGAGATGGGATGAATAAGATGGAGGCTGGAAGAGGTCAGCTTTGCAATTAGCAGTTCTGCTTACATTTCAAGAGACAGCCCAGGAAGTGTCAAGACCTCAATCCTGCTTCCATGTAACTACCAATTTTTCCTCTATTTGTCGGAGCTTCTGTAATCTGGGAGGTAGGAATCCCCCAGGGATGGTTGGAAGGGGCAAGTACTCAAGATAAAGTGCTAGGCGAGACCGCGAGGCCTAAAATAAGCAGGCTCCATCCCCCGCACTGCCTCCCGGTTGTTGTCTGCAGGAAATCAGAAAAGGAAGAAATGAAGGCGGCTCTGGGTATTCATCTACCTGATAATTCTCTAAACGCCCTGGAGTGAGTTATAATTTGGACAGCGCAATTTAATTTGCGCCGGCCGCAGTAATTTATGTTATTTTGAATTGATGTTCATACATCAATATCAATCAGGGCAGATTTTTTTTTTTTTTTTACCACTTAGTAATATCATCGCACATTTAAAACCTGCACGAAAAATAAAATCGATACTTTATGCATTTACATACAGCGGATCTCCGGCAGCGCGGGGGCGCGCAGGCTGCGCGGGGAGGGGCGGGGCGGGGTCTCCCGGGCCGCTCCCATTGGCTGGGACGCAGCGTTATGCAAATATCCACGTGCTGCCTGCGCCCGGGTGGGCAGCGCCGGGCGAGGCCGCGGAGACCCCGGTACGCGGGGACAGCCCTGCGGGGCCCGGCTGCAAGCGTCCTTTCCCTCCCCCACCCGGGCTGCGAGCCCCGTTTCGCCCCGGGGAAGCCGTTTCTGCGAGGTGCCAACTTTCGGGTTTCATCGGAAAGGGAAGGCGGAATAATGAGGCTTTGTCTCTCTAACGGGATTACCGGGATCCGTTTATGCTGAGGTGGCTGGAGGAAGGGGCGGTTTGGGGGCAGAGGCGAACAATGGGACCCTCCGGACCCGGCAGCTGGGCAGAGCACGGCCACCTCCCTCCTGCCCGGCACTGCAGCAGCTGGGGCTGGCAATGCTTCCCGGCCGACAACGCCAGGGAAGGGATGCCAGCAGGCTCCAAAGCGAGGGGTTGTTTCCAGTATCGATCTATGCAAATGAGATTCAGGTCGACCGAACTGTCGTAAAAATACACTCCAAATCGAAGAAAGTTCGCCTTAGCAATCGTTACGGGGATATTGGAAACACAAAACTCCATCCTCCTCTCCGGGGTAGCACCAGCAAGACGAGGGTTTTCTCCTGGTGGGGTGGCTGCTGAGGAAGGGAAGGCGGAAAGGGTATTTTCTGAGAGCTCAGACCTTTGAAACTGACTAGCAGGAGTGGAAGCCGAAGAGAGCAACGTCCTCCCACCGGCGGGCACCGGGGAGGGTGGCCTTGCCCCGGGCCCTTACTAGCTCTGCTTTAGGTTTCAGGAACGAGGAGGTTAGCTGAAAATAGGCACGGAGCACGCTGGTGGCCCAGCCGCATCCTCGCACGCTCGGGAAACGGTTCCAAATTCCCACCGTCGTGGTAGTCGGAAGCACAAGACCAGTTGTGTTTTTGAAAGGAGAAAGATTTGGCCCTTCCCTTATTTTTGTCTGTGAAATGGATCAGTGACCTCGGCTCCAACTCGGATTGACTGTCTCGCGTTCTCCAGGGACAAATTAATGGAGACCTATCACTTAATTAACAAACCCTCACTCACAGTATATTAAACGCGAGCTCTGCACCGGGAGCGCAGACGGGCGGGTTTGGGACGGCGGAGCACAGGTACGGACCGGTACGGCCATATCCGAGCAGACAATACGGGACCCGCTCGGAACTACACCGGGCAGCAAGTGAAGAGAGGGGGATGAGGCTCTGGAGCAGCGAAGCCGCGACATGGACTGCTCGTCTCACGCAGAGACATCCACGCGAAACTCAAACGCCGCGGCCTAATGATAATTACAACCAGTTAAAAAAATTAATTAAAAAAATATAACGATTTTAACCAACAGCGGTTCTCAGCCAGCGCTCACCCGCCAGGTTCGAGTCGTTCGTGCGAAACCCCTGTCCCAGCTCACCTAACCCGAGCGGGACGCTGGCCCCGAGCCCCGCCAGCCGCTGCGACCGGAGCCCACCTCCCCTGACACAAAGCAGACACACCGAACGACTCCTCTCAGAGGGGCATTACCGGGGCTTCCCCGCACCCCGTCCGTGGGCCCGGCCCGGCTCAGCCGCCAATTCAAGCATTTCCGCCTCGCCCTCCGCGCTCCGGGCAGCGCTCCTGCCGGTGCGGCTTTCGGCGGCGCCCCATTACCGGCGGCGGATGCGCCCCGGCCGGAGAACGGACAGAGCGGGGACGCCGCAGTGCGCAGCCCGAGCCCCAGCTCGGCTTTGTCTGGCAGGCGGGAGCGCGGCGTGCAGGAACCGGACAGTGCCGGTGCGCGGAGCCGGGAGAGGGAGCGGGGAGAGGACAGAAACGGAGCGGCGGAAGAGGGGGTCGGGGCTGCTCTTCAGGGACAGAGAGGGACTGGGGCGGCCTGCCCAGGCCCGGGGCCCCGACGCCGCCGCCGTGCCCCGACCACCCCGCAGCGGGCTCACCTGCAAGCCGCAGAGCAGACATCCGCTGAAACTCCGGCTCCTGGAGCCACTTCCACATCCTGCGGAAGGTCTCCCGGCCGGATTTGAGCTTGCTCCAGGGCTTGGGGTTCCTCAGCAGGTCTGAGAGCGTCCCTTGAGAGCGGCACAGCACCCTCTGGGCGAAGATAGCCTGGGGGATGCTGTACCGTTTGAGCTCGGTGGTGATCCTCTGAGCTACTTCTTTGGTATTGATTTCTTCCATTTGCCCTGAATTACTTCCACTGTTGACCTGCGAACCAGTTACGGAAGGGTTTTGCTCCCTGGCAGAGCCTAGGATCTGCCCGTGGCTCTGGGCATTTAAGTGGGCATGAGGATGGTGTGGGATCCCGTTGATAGGCACCATGCCAGCGGAGGTGGGGGTGAGGTGTTGGTCGCCATGCCTGGCTAACATGGCAGGGTGGTGGGCTTCAAATCCATTTGGGGTGAGCATTTTCTCGGCGGGCATGGTGGCACTGGGGTGAGCATAGTGGGGCAGCCCTTGCTGGGAGTTGTGGATGCTTCCCAGGCCCGATCCAGACAACGGAGAGAGGCTCTGCCCCATGCCGGTAACATCCTTGTGGTAGGGGGTGTAGAGATTGTTCATAGACGCCAGACCCCTCTCGTCCCGCATGAGCGTGAAGCTGCCGCTCACGTTGCCCGGAATCCGCTGGTGGGGATGGTGGTGGTGGTGATGGTGGTGGTGGTGGTGAGGAAACTTGTCCGAGACCGTCGAGATGGGAGGTAGAGGCTGCAGAGGGGTTAACGTGGTGTAGGTGCTGCTCATGCTCATGCCGGGGGGTGTTTCGCAGGCCATGGTCATGGTGGGGTGCAGGGGGCCCGTCAGCGCGTGCTCGGGCGGCCGGTGGTGGTGGTGGTAGTCGCCGCCGTCGAGGATGGACGCCATGCCCATGGAGCGCGGGTGGGCCGGCAGGTGGCTGCCGCGGTGGGCCACCGCGCTCCGGTGGTGCGGGCTGCCGCTCATCAGGTCGGCGGCGGCGGGCACCGGCTCATGGCTCACCCCGTGCAGATCGCCGATGTTCTCCATCGCCAGCTGCGCGTTCATCGTCGGCCGTGCGGGCGGCGGGACCGCACATCTATCTGGTGGGCGGCGGGGCGTCCCGGAGCTCTTGGCGGCGGCCGGTGGCTCCCGCGGGCGGGCGGGCGGGCGGGCGGGCAGGCGCTGCGGGCTGGTGGCGGTGCTGCTGCTGCTGCTGTTGTCGGACTGGCTGGCTTTCCCTTTTTATTATTATTATATATATTTTTTTTTTTTAAATTTCGTGGCAATGTATTTATTTGGGTTTTTTTGGTTTGTTTTTAGTTGGTTTTCCCCCCCCCCCCTCCCCCGCTGCTGGCTGGCGCCGCCGGGCCGGTCCTAGGGCCGCCGCTCCCTCAGGCCGGGCCCCGCAGCCGCGGCCGCGGCGGGTGTGTGTCCGCGTCCCTCGCCATCCCCGGCCATGGCTCTCTGTGCGGCCGCGCTCCCGCTCCGCTCCTGCTGCTGCAGCGCCGCCGCCGCCCGCACCGCGCCTGCGCGCCGCTCGGCACCGCCCCCGTGACGTCACCACCCCTTTTAACCGCGCGGGCCGCGCGCGGCGGCGCCCAGAGCTGATGGTGCCGCTGCCCTGCGCGGGCCGGGTGGGTCCTGTACCCCCTCAGCCCTCACGGCCCCCGCAGCCCCCGCCCCGGGCACAAAGGGGCCGCCCCGCCTCCCGCCGGGCTGGCGGGGAGCAGGGACACCCGCCCCGCCCCTTCGGTGACTCCGCGTTTTTCCGTGAGCGCGGAGCCTCCTCACCTCACCCGGGAGCTTCCGGCCGCCCTGCCCCGGGGCGCCCGCGGGGGCCGTGCCCGCCGTGTCCCTCCGTGCTCCCCGCCGCGTCCGCCCGCGCTGTCCCGGGTGTCGCTCCCCTCAGGTCCCCCGCCGGGAAACTTCCCGCTGCCCGGCCTGAGAACGTTCATCGTTCCCGGGGCTGCGCCCCGAGTCCGATCGGGGTCACCCCCGCGGCTCAGCTCCCTCACCCCCTGTCCTTGGGGACCCCGCGGGGTCCGGTCGGGCGATGCGATGGGGGGGACGCCCCCCTGCAGTCCCCGCCGGGGACCCCGAGCGCGCCCGGCGATGCAAGGCGAACATATGCCCCGAGGCGCCCAGCAGCCGGACATGCCGCTGGTTTTCTTTTATTTTTTCCCCCCAAAAAGAAAGAAAAGGAGGCGGAGGAGAAAGGACAAGCGAGCCCACCCGCCGGCCCCCCTCGTTAGCTAAGGTGCCTTTATGCTGGAAGAAAGGGCAGATGTGCCTATTGTTCGCCCATTAACAATAACGAACCACGCTGGGCAGAGTGCGGCGTGTGCGCGGCGCTGAGCGGCGGGAGGGACGGGCCGAGCCGAGCGGCGGGAGAGCCGCGGGGCCGCAGCCGGGCGGCACCGGGCCGGCGGCGCACAAAGGCCGCTGCCGCTTCCCCCCGCTCCGCCGTCAGGGCCCGCGGAGCCGCCTGCCCCCTATATCGCCCTACCGAGGCCCCGGGATAGCAAGCGGGTCCCCGCAGCGCTGGGGCTCAGGCCAGGACCTGGGTGTCTTTTCCACGGAGAGAGGGATAGGGCTTGAGCACCTGCCCTGGCAAAGCCCCGGAGCGAGGGCAAACCGCTTCGCCCCGCGGGACCCTGTCTGTGACGGGAGCTGTCACGGTCCTTGCGCTCCGCCGAAAGCTCCAAGGCCCCTTCCCTGGTGAGGGGCAGGAGTCCGGGGCCAGTGAGCCACCAGCCCCACGGGGAACGCAGGCGGCAGGAACAAGGACGGGAGTTGGTCCTAGGGCAGAGTCCCCATGGGATAGAGCTGAAATCAAACCCTGGGGTTATTTTTCCCGGAGCTATTGCCCTAACTTTATGGACAAGGCCTGTGGAGATTCCCCTCAGTACGAAGGGGATGGCACTGCTCGGGCGCCCGTGGGGCCTCGCCGTTCACCGGTTTCTCGAGGCAGCGAGACTCCTCGCCCCGCGCTGTGCGCCCAAAGCACGGCAGCAGCGGCCGAAACGGGGGCCTCGGAGGGGCCTCGGCACAGAGCCCCGTCGTCCGAGCCAGGCCTGGCCCCACTCCTGCCCTGCTGCCCCTTCACAACGCCCGCGGGACGAGGTGTGTGTGGGGGGGACCGTGCCGCACCTCAAGACGTCCGGCCCGTCTTCCTCGCACTCCCGCCCCGCAGCCCAGCACGGCGAGACCCAGAGGTGAGCCGGGGCACCGTCTGCCTCCTCGCCGCTGTCTCTCGCCCAGGCACCGGGTACGTACCCTCGTGGGCTGCTCACGGCTGATCGTGCCCGGGGAGCCCTGCGTGGGGGCTGCAGCCTGGACCGACCATGTGCGTGGTTGCATATGCCCGCGGTCGGTGAGCTAAAAAAACCCACCAAACGTCGGGCAGGCTCGCAAGAAACTTCTAAAATCACAACTGTTTTCTGTGTTGTGCAAGTGTGTTGCGTGTACGGCCCTAGAAGAGAGTGTACTTTTTCCTTGTCTAAATTCAGAATTTCCAGCAGATTTATACGTTTCGCCCAGTTAACACACACACACACACACACACACACACACACACACATGTAAAAATTCAGAGTCACTGAAGCCCGTTTCCGAAATAAATCCATTGCTCAGAGCTGTTCAGGATGCTCCTTCGTATTTTATTTTTCACCAAAAATCTCCCCACATACAGATTCCGCACAGTTCCTACCGCTCCAGCCACCCCCATCCTAAACGCTTTCACAGTTCTCTGAATTTTTGTAACGTTAACAGTGTCTCCATTTCTGATAGCGAGGGATAGATAAGGAAAGGTGTATCTCCGAAAGAAGGAAAAATAGACCTGAAACAAAGACAGTGATCTCGGAAAATGTTTAGGATAAAATAAAATAAAATAAAATAAAATTATCGAGAGCATTTCGAGACCGAAATGAATGGCCATGATTGTTTCCCAAGCCAACGCGAGTTGATGTCACGGATCTAATCGAAATGTTGTCAGCTTCTTCATTATCAATATCTGTATACAATTTACAGTTTAATTAAAAATATTTCATCTCCGCACCTTTAGCGATTAGTTATCAAAGCAAACATCACAGCGAATATGCTACTCCCTCGAGTTTGTAGGAAATTGCAGCATAAAATTTTTCTTCAAGAAAGGAATACAAACCCGACCCCCAAAAACTTGGAGAGTCCTGTGACACGCCGCCCCCTCCCCGTCGGGGTTCAATCTCTAACCTTAGAAAAGGGTGTAGAAACGCACTCATCCCTCCCCAGCTATAAACACATCTTTTATTTTTAAAACATTTTTTCCCGTTGCTCTGGGGAGACCCCACGATGAAGCGGCCCTGGTGCGCAAAAGCCGCAGGCGCGGGGGACAGCGCAGGAGCCCGGGGCCGACGGCGCCCGGTCCCGTCTCAGCTGCAGAGCGCCTCGGGACCGCGCGATGGGCTGGCAGGGGCCCGGGGCCGGGAAGGAGAGGCCGGCACACCGCTCCGCAGTCTCGGCTCCCCGCCCTCGGGGGTGCCCGTCCGTGGGCTCCCCTCGGCGCAGACCCCGTCACGGTTCCCCCGCGGAGCCTCCCGCCCCACCGGCGAAAGGGGAGCACCGAAGAGAGCTCATTTCGGTGCGCTAATCAATTACTGTTTGTGCAGTCAAGTACCATATATTTAACAGAATAATCGTTACCGCCCTTAAGTCTTTATTTGATCAGCAGATACTCGGAGCGGACTTAAAACGCAACTTTGCTTGTTTGAATTGCGTGGCGTGTGTGTGCTTTTTAAATCCGAGCTAATGACACCATGAAACGGCCGTAATCTCCCGCCTGACGCCCGCAAACACCGCGCGGGCACCGGGGCCCGCCCGACGGGGCGGCCCGGCCCGGGGCAGCGATCACAGTGCGCTGCACCTGACCGGACAGAGTTGGTTTTCTTTTTAATTATTTATTTTTATTATATTTTTCCATTTTAATTTTTTTTTTTTTTAATGGCGTATGAGTGGGCTGCCGCAGCCCGCGCCCTCCCGCGCCTCCTGCGCGGTGACAGCTTGCGGCACCGGGTCCCCTCGCACGGGGAGCGTGTCAAAGGTGACGCTCGAAGGCTCCCAAAGCCAACAGCTGCCGGGGGGGATTAACTTTTCCAGACTTTCCCCTGTCGAGCTTCTTGGAAACTTGCTTGGCGACAAAAACATATACATCTGTCGGGGGCAGGCAGAGAACAGAGGGCTGCTCCGGCCGGGGCAGGCGGGGGAGGGCCCGGCTTTCAGGGGAAGCTGCTGCGCGGCGGGGGCTCGCTGCGGGTGCCCACCCGGAGGGGTCCTGGCTTTCCCCCTCCCGCAGCCCTCGCCCCCGGACCAGGACTTCTGCCCGACGGGAGCCTCGTGGAGCCTGGGGTCGGCAGCACGGTCGTTGGACTTGTTCGGTGGTGGCCCCCATCACCTGCCCAAGGGCTCTGGGCTCCCCGCTTTTTCCCTCTGGAGCTCCCCAGGGCGGAGGTCTGTCCTGCTGGGGGATGCGGGGCTGGGAGCGGGCACCGAGCGAGCCCCGCGGGCTGCAGGGCGCTGCCCGGCCGAATCGCCGCGGTCCCTCTGCAGCCGCGTTCTCCCGCACCCCCCGGTGCAAACCGCAGCGCTTGTTAATGAAGGAAACTTATGGAAGATTGCAAAACACTGTAAATAATTTAGCATTGTATTTCAGGAAAAAAATAGCTTTCTTAAATCATCTCCTCAGTATAACTTGCAGACTTACAGTATGGCCCTGGTAAGTCTAAATTTTTAAAGTAGCAATATTCAAAGAGACAGAGATGTCTGTATTAATTATTTATCCGCTGGTGCCTTCCTTCGTTTCCAACTTATTATTAATTAGGCGCCTCTAGTCTTTCGCAGAGAGCTCCACAGAGCCAGTTGCAGCTTTAAATATGAATTAAAAGCAAATCCAAGCTACTGTAATGCGAAAATTATTCCGTGTCTTCTATGGCAGAGATGAATAGCTGCGCAGATCAATACTGTGAAGCTATGCTCCAAACGACAGGGTTATTGATAGCTTATATTAATGATGTTAATGATGGAAAAAGGAAAACAAGAACCCGACCAACTTATAAACTTTTTATCTGCTGAAACCCCGCAATCAAGCGGACAGGAGCATGAATTAAGGGGGCTGGAGATAATAAGAACATTATTTATGAAACCGGATAAATGACTTCTGATAGTTTGATGCGTTTGAACTCTACACTGCCGCCTTCTCGGAGGCAGGCTGGGACCAGCAGGGCGCTGCCCCGCGCCAGGGCGGCCCCTCGGCCCCAGGGGCGTGTGCGGTCCACGCACAATCCACGCGTGACCCACGCGGTGACGGCCGCATGGGTCTGCAACACCAGAGTTGCTTTAGGTCCTGGGAAACCCTCAGGAAAACACTCCCGGGGTGCGAAGGACGTGGTCCTCGCTGGCACCGCCGCCATTCCAGCCCAGCCAGGGGCCCGCAAAAACCTTGCCCGCGACAGGGATGGCCCTGCTCCTCGGCCGGGCAGAGTTTGGGGTAACAGGAGGAAGGAGAAAGGGAAAGAGCCGCGCTCCTCCTCCCCGGGCAGCCTCCGCCCGCCACGTGCACCGGACACGAGAGGCCGGCCCGAGCTTTCCGGCCCGTGGAACGTGTGTGTGCGGGCAGTACCTGCTGCCGTCGGGGGGCGAGGCCCTTCCCGCGACGGGACGCGGCTGCCTTGACCCTCCGTTCCCGCATCGGCCCGGCCCCAGGAGGGTTGCGGGGGCTCCTGTTCTCTCCGCTGTCCCTCGCCCCCACGGACACGCCTTGGTACCCCGAGACAGAAATAATCATCGAGGTCACAGCGGCTCGGGCTGTCCAAACCCACGGACGGTAACACAATAGGGATCAAAAGCGCTTTGGTGAACACTATTCATCTGGGTTATTATTTAGGGAAAGGTGCTATTAAATCCCCGCCGGGTGCCCAGAGGTGACGCTCTGCCAGGGCCCCGGGAAGGGAACCTGCCCGCGCAGGCAGCACGTGGCCCTGAGTTAGCAATTAAGGCAGGAACACGTTTTAATCTGGCAGCGCTGCTCACAGCGCCCTGGGTTCCTCGGCTGAGGTCTTTATTAGTTACATGTATGAGCGAATATACTCGCTAACCTTTTTATTTTTTTAATTTTTTTTTTTTTTTTGCTTTTCCCCCCTTCCCCGGATCCCAGACCGAGGGCTCTGTAAACTGTTCCTCTCTGTAATTATTCGTATTCGACATTTAGCTATGCAATGCTCTCTCTGTGCCTATCTTAGCGCATTTTATAAAACTCTTTGTCTAGATGCCATCTCGGATATAGATGATCAATCCCATAGATAATTTTTTTTCATATTTTAAAAACCTGCTGCTATAGGAAGTACTTAAAAAAAATTTGTAATTATTATTTTAAAAAACAAGCTTCCGCCAGGAGAAAGTCGCACTTGTTTCCAAAAACAATTCACAGCAGATAGTGTAGATATCACTTAATTCCTACAGAAATCAATGTGAAAATTAGATTTATTGGCTACTTACATTGTTAAAAATGACAAAGTGCTCCCTTTTATTTTCATAAAACCACAGAAGACCGAAATCATTTAATAAAGAATCCACCTAGTTTAATTTCACTGTAGGTCTCTTGCATTGAAACCAATTCTTCGAGCCTTTCCCTCATAAACCTGCCTTCCATTCTAGTACTAAGGGCAAAAATAATATTCTCAAAGAGAGTTAAAATAGTAGCATTTGTTTGGTCCCTGAAAAACCTTTCACGCCGTTAGCCGAAAGAGATCGTGTAAATGAAATAGGATCCGCGGTTTTAAAGCGTTCCGTGTTCTCTATTAGCCCCAAAGGTTTGGTGATTTCCATTTGTATTTAAAAAGAAAAGAAAAGAAAAGAAAACGCCCCTTAAAAAAATATTTATTTAGTGTATTTTTAAAAAAAACGGAAGAAAGAAGAAGAGAGCGAAGGACCGCCTGGCCGCCGGCTCTGCCGGGGTAGGTGGCGGCCGAGGCGGTGCGGGGCCGGCGGTGCGGTCGCTTCTCCTCCCGCTACTTGTTGGGTTTCGCTGCGAGGGAACGAAAGCGGCGGGCAGGGCCGGCGGGCAGCCCCCCACCCGCGGGCAGCCCCCACACCGCGGCCCGGTGCGCCCTGTCGGGTGCGGGGCAAATTGGGGGTGCGCTGCCTTCCCCACACGGCTCGCTACCCTCTGCTCGCCAGGGCCAGTGCGGGGACAACGCTGCTGGCCCCGACAGCGGGCCGGGCAGGGGCCGGGACGGAGGGCAGGAGCCGCGGCCGGGCAGGGCCCGCGGGGCCCGGGCAGCGCCTGCCCTCCCGCCCCGCTACGCGGCCGCGCAGCACCGCACCTAAAGCCGCGGGGATTTAGGATCCGCGCCACGGCCTGGGAGAGAGCGTCGATAAAATTCTGCGTATCAAATGAGCAATCATTTGTTGTGGTTACGTGTTGGGTAATGAAAGATGTTAGCAGGATCAATAAAAATGAAAACACTTTTACTTACATCTTGAATTACTGTTTTAAGGAGTGAGCTGTGGTGATGCAACAAACCAGAGAAAGATCTACAGCCATCAAATGTCCTCAAATGAAATCAAAATGAACGCGTGTCACCCTGGGCTCACCCCGGCCCCCGCCCGAAAGCTCTCCTTTCTAGCACACCCCCCCAGAGGGCTGAGGGTCCCCCCGGCCGGCTCGGTGCCGGGCCCAGCTCCGCTCGGCGGAGTCATCCCACCACGTCAGTTTATTTCTATTTCGAAAGAAAAACTCTGCTATCTTCGGGGGTGTCTAAAGGTCAAATAACAGGTCGTAGCCCGAGGCAAATGGGAATTTTAGAGGGACGAGGAGCCAGCCAGTTCCACAGCATCCTAAAAGCTTTCCCTCGGCTGCCGCTAAATAATAAAATATCTACGCATCTCCATCGTTTATTCCCGCGTACAGCGGTCCGCCAGGCACATACTCGGGAATCCGTGCGACTGGGCTCCGCAGCGCCCGAACCTGCGGAGGAACCTGCTCGAAATCGATCCCCCAACCCGCCATGGCCGTCGCACCGCTGACTTATCCCAACCGAAACAAGAGCGGGGCCCTCAGTGGCAGAAAATTATCGGGGAGATCGATTTCGGGGTGAATTCACGGTGAATTTAGCAAGCAACAGCCCCAAACATGGAGGCTGGCAGAGCTCCGGGGGCCGCTCTCGCGGGCAGCGGCCGCACCCCTGCGCCGGGGCTGCTCGGCGGCGGAGCGGGCGCGGGGCTGGCGGGGCGGGCGGCGAGGCGGCTCCGAGCGGCCCCCACGCGCGGCCGCGGCCGCTGCTCCGCGGGCGCGGAGGCACCGGACGAAGCCTCTCCCTCCCCCGCACTGCGCGCACCCTTCTCCGCGGGCGCGGGGGAGGCCGCACGGCCCCCGCTCGCCGCCACCGCCGCCGCTCCGCGCCCCGCCCCGCCCCGCCCGCCGGCCCCTCCGCCCGCGCCGTGCCCCGCTGGGCACGCTTACCCCCGCCGTCCGCCGCACGCCGCCGGGACGGGCATCCGCTGCCTCCTAGATTTGCCCCCTAGGAGGAGAAAACTCAAAATAATAATAATAAAAAAATCATCTATCTGCATAATTTCAGATGAGAACGAGAGGAAGAAAAAGAAGAAGAAAAAAAAAAAGGAAAAAGGTAACGGCCGCGGCTGCCACGCCAGTCCCGTTAAAAAAAAAAAAAAATAAAGCATCAAACCCTCATAAGGTGTAGGAGAGATCTTTTATTGGACCAACTTAAACGCAAGAATTTACAGCCAGAATTACACGATCTTCATCAGCCCAACAGGCACCAGAGGCAGAGGCACAGGCAGCAATTTGAGTATTCCCTGGGTCTGCAGGAGATGAGAAGGTTTTGGTGGAGGAAGGGGGTGGGAGAGAGGAGAGACCCTCTTTCCCCCCAAAGAGCCTCAGTTTGTGGCTCAGGTAAAAATAAAAATAGGAAAAAGGAAAAAAAAAAACACAACGAAAAATCTCTTCAGAGCCCCATTTTGCTCCATCTTTAAGTCCAGTCCAGGATCAATTCTTTCCCTTACATCCCCAGTCATAAACCAACAGCTTCCAGCTAAATCTTTTAAAGGTTAAAAGGAACAAAAATAGAAATAATAATCAAGGGTTTTTTCTTCTCCTCCTGCTTGTAGGACAGCGCATTTTGGTCAGTCTAGCCTTGCATTTAGGGATGCTACTTGCATTTGAATAGCTGCCTGGCTGGTTATGGATCGGGAGGCTATGAGAGGAATCAGTATGCAAATTGTTTCAGTTACAATCGAAGGGTTCGATCTGGAGAAGGTGCCTGAGCGGAAGTCGCTGTCAGCCAGCGGTGCATTAGGCTGCCATTGCCTCCGCCGTCTGGGCCTGCTCTCCCTTTCCCTCACCCTTTTTTATGCTTGTGTACAGGTTTCTCCGGCGGTAATTAAAACATACACACAAATCAGGGGCTGCTGCATATCACGTTGGTGCCTTTTGCAGGCTGCGGGCACAGGGAGAGGGGGAGTGGAGAGAATATATCGCCATGCTGCTGGGGTTATTATTATGCAGCAAGGGTGAGGCGATCAGTGAAATAAAACATTTATAAATGGTTTCGTGCTTACAGTAGGAGAGGTGGGCCGGGGGGGCCGCCTGGGCGCTGATCACACAGTGCAGGCTGCAAATCGATAACCCTTTCCTTGTAATCCCAGTAATTGTGGGAATCACGGCTCTCTGTTAAAGGGACAGCGGGCTGCAGTGGGGGGTGCGGGGGCTGCACTTGCAAAGCCCCTGTCCCCCAAAGGCCCACCCCGGCCTCCCCAGCACTGCCTGGAAGGCAGCTGGCACGGCTGCGGGCAGGGGGCAGGGGCAGGCTCTGGCCCCACCGGGCACCATTTTCATAGCCCCCTTTACGGTTGCAGTAAAGCCCCTTCTGTCACCTGTGGCATTCTCTACCCAGGGCAGGACATGTCCAGCACCCCCAGCTGAAGGCACGGAGTGGAGAGAGAGCGGCCCACGGGGGCGCAGGCAGAGCAAGGGGCTGCTCACAGCCGTGCCTCCTCCGCCCAGGCTTCCCATGGCAGCCCCATATCCCCACGGAGCCTCGGCAGCTCAGCTCAGCTCCTTCCCTTCCTAGGTTTTGGCACTGCCAGGAGCAGCGGGAGGCCTTGAGTGTTCTGTACAGGTCAGATCTCCATGAAACCAGTGATGTTTTGTCGCGTGGCAGAGAAATGAGACAGACTGGTGAAGTCCTGGCTGGAATCAGACTGGCGTGGGCCACCCCTGGCCCTGGGGTGCCCTCAGGGCAGCACCCCAAGCCCAGCCCTGCCCCTGCCCCGTGTCCCCCAGGTGTGTGGCTGCGGGGCCGAGGTGCCCGGCAGCCTCCAAGGCGGCCGGCTAGGGGGGTGCATGGGCAGGAGGGCCGGGGGCATGGGGCCCTGCTCCTGCCCTCTCCCTGCCGCTGACCATCTGTCATTCAATTAGGGCTGGGAGGCAGCTGAGGGGCTGGGGGGAGTGGGGCTGGGGGTCAGCGACCCCGCGCACAACGGCCTGCTGCCTCGCAGACGAGAAGAAGTTCAAATGTTAAATGCTCTCCGGCCCCGGCTCATCCAGGGCACTCGCCTTTGGAGGCAGCGCAGGGGTGAAGGGCATCAGTCATTAGCACTTCGATTTCAGCTCCGAGGCTGACCCTGCCTTCTGTTGGGGGATTTTGGCCTGAAAAGCCTTAACCCTTCCAGGGCAGCCCACACTCCTCTCCGGCCCCCACGTGGGTAGTCCCAGGCTGGTGCTGCCTGGCCAGGCTGCTCCCGCAGCCTCCCCTGTAGCCTGGGGCTGCCCCCCTGCCAGGTGGGTTTGAGGGAGAGGAGGGATCCCGGCAGCTCTGCCCACAGCCGGCCTCTTCCCCGACCCTGCCAAAGGGGTGAGCCAGGGCAACAAGTCAGTGCCAGCAGGGAGCCACGCTGTGGCTCCGTGCTGGACGTAGCACACACACCCTGCCCACCCACGGCTGCATTTCCTGCAGGGCGCCCAACACCCCCTCTCCTTCTTACAAACAGACCAGAACAAATTGATGAATTGAGCTTCCACTATGCTAATTTGGACATTATAAATATTTAACTATCAACCCTAGCAGCCAGCCAGAGAGGGCTGCTCTCTCCTTTACATGCCACTTAATCTAAAGTAAATGTTTGCCCCAGAAGTGGCTAGGGCAATCTGAGCATCTCATTCCCTGCCCCTTCCTCCCTCAGGGGAGCCATGTGGATCCAAAAGAGGATCTTGTCACATTTGACTCATTTTACAGAGTCTCCCTGCTGTCCTGCCTCCGTGTTTTGGGTGTGTTAAGAAGCTAACCTGGGGCAGAGATCGAACTGAGGCACTGTTCTGGCTAGGAGGATTCTGACACTGTGCCTCAAATCAGAGAGGTCTCTGGCCACATCACCCAACACTGGGGCTGCTCTGCCTGGAGCAGATTTCACATGTGCCTGGAGATGGAGAGACTCCTGACTCAGGATCAAGGCAAAGAAGAATGAGTTTCCATGCTCTTTCAACAGAAACGCTCCTCTGTGTCATGCAAACCCACAACATCTATAATTTCAGTAGGATGACACCTATCAAGAGAACCCCATGGCCTTCATTTTGAGGACAGATTATATACCCCTCATGACATCAGCATTTGATAGTTTGATAGATTTTCATGTTTGATACACTTACCATTTGCTGCTGAAGGGGAGTAATTTTCTCTTTCAACGTGGGAGCACATCACAAGTGTTTGTTAATGATTTCAGAGCTTTGTTTTTCTGAAGGGCTTGAGCAGCTGTTTGAAACTCTTGGCTGTAACAGTTTTGCCTTAGTTATTCACCTTAGAGGCAAAAGAAAATGTCACTCAGAGTGGTGCAGGGGTCTGTGGGGCTTCAAACAGCTCAGCTGGGGCTTGGTCTGGTATTTTTACAGCATTTGTGTGGCAGCTGTGCCACTCACACCAAGAGGCAGGTCTTGGGAAGCTGCCTTTCTGCTTCTGAGCTCTGTCAATTTGCTAATGAGAAGCTTATGATATCTGTTACTTATGCTGACTCTGTCTCTCACCTGCTGGCAAAAAGTGAAGTTCTGCTCTAAGAAGGAGTGCCCTGGTTCTTTGGTACACCGCTGGGGTGGACGCCGTGTGCCCCTGCACAGCCAGGGCTCACAGTCCCTTGTGACAACCCCTGACCAAGCACGATGAAATGAAGGCTTGAACTGTGCCAGGTGTGTCAAGAAAATATGGGAATATGGGTTGTCATTACCTGAATACACACAGTGATTTGACATCAATCCCTACATTAAAATACACACAAAATCAGGAACCAATATCTTGCCTGTAAATTTGTGTGGCTTCCCTCACACCCTCATCCCCCAATTATTTGGAAACACAGGGAATGTTGGTGTTTTTTTGTGCTATCTTGCTCTCCTTTGCCTGGAACAGGCTGGCAGCAGGCTGGTATGGTCCTGGTAGAAGGGAAGGTCCAGCCCATCAGGCTGCAAAAGCAGGGTAGGTGCTGCACTGGAGATGTGAAACACTAGTTACTTTGCTATAGGGTCAGATATTGGATTATCAGCAAAAGTTGATCCCAGTCACATGGCACATCTTACATTTGCTGTCATAAAATCTATCATTATTTAATAGGCATGGAAATCAAATTCTTCTGTGGACTATGAAGCAGGAATCTTTTAAAAATGTCTGTTTACCACAACAGACAACATATTGATCATCAGTTTTGAGATTTCTCAGACAATGCGGAGGTATGTGTGAACACAAGCTGGCAGCTTGCTTTTCTGTGTTCACTGCCCAAAATCAAACCCCACCAAATGCACACACTCATCTTTCCAATCAGGTAGACTTTGAATTCTTTAAAGACAAATAAAAAGGAAATTACATAGTACCAACCTGCCTCTAGTGATGCTGCTGTTTACAGTCATACTCACAGGTACACACAGTGAGGAGATACACGTTTCTGCCTTGTGATCCCTGGATGGGAGCCGTGGGATAAAATGGAAAGGAAAAGTTGCAAAGCTGGTGTGGGGAATGTAGGAGTTCCAGAGGGTTACAGCACCATCCCAGAACCCAGGCTCCTCCAGGTGGTGACAGAGGCGTGCCTGTCCCTCCTCTGTGCCCTGGTAAGGTAGTTCAAGTCATGACAAAGGGCTATCCTGGGTAAGGACTATTAACTGCAGGTGACTTGTGATTGGCACCAGATTACCTGATAGAGACAGTAACTCATTTCACATGGACTGCAATAGAGTATTTGTAGATGTGTTTTTCCATGTTCGTGTTTATGGACACCCCAGGGCATTCCATGAGCTGCCACAGCTTCATGGTCCCCAGGCTGAGCCTGCTCTGTCCCTGCCAGCCAGTGGCACATCTGTGACACCCAGCACTGAGGAGAGAGGAGGGGGAGTGAGCACCCTAAAGCCCTTTAGCTTTAGAACTAGCACGGTCTTTAATCTGTGCATATTTTAAGGTGTGGGGATCCCATAAATCCTTCCACATCTGGGATCGCTTGTAATGGCCAGTGTCAGGAGTTTACAGAAGAGCTTTCCTAAGATCTAGCGCCCAGAATCAATAGCAGCTGCAATTCCAGGCAGGAGGATAGGCCGAATCCCGATTTGATTCTCAGGTGTTTTCAATTGTATTTCCAGCAAAAAATTATTGTTGTTAAGTGATTCCTCTGGTCTGGTTGTGCCTTTTGAAGTTGCCTTTATTTCTTTGAGCTCAGATTCCTTGAGATCCTCTAGGTGCTCCGTCCCCAAACCCGCATGTATCTAATAAACCTGACAGCTTCCCAGCAGATGTCTCCATCTTCTCCATTTTCTCCTTTATTGAGGAGACAGACTTCACTGGAGAGTGCATCTTAGCTAGTGTGGCCAAGCCAGGCTCTTTAGAGAGCTTGCTGAGGCCCAAGTCATCTAGTCCAGCCATGGAGGAGCAAGGGGACCTTGCTGGCAAGGCAGGGTTTGAAACGCCCTGCAGCTCACACTCCATTCTCCATTTTCTGCTTTGCCCTTGCTTTGTTCATCTGACACCATCAGCTCCCATCTCCCTGGAAGCATTCATGCTGCTCTGGGGTGAATTTTTTGAGGTTTCAGCCACTCCACCTTCCCAGGGGAATGCCCCTCCTCATTAACATCGTTACCATTCCTGTTTGTGCAAGCGCTGCCTGGGAGCACCAGGAAAATGGAACCCGGAGAAAAGGGCTCTGTTGTGCAGTGTTTGGCCCGGGTCACAGCACGCTGGCCAGGATTGCTGGCTGGACTCTGCCATCTCCATGAAGCCCTTCTGGGTCTGTGCTAAATCACAAGCAAGTTGAGGCCAGACTTCCCTTGGCTGTCCCAGTTTGCTCTGAAATGCCTACATCTGAATTCCTTGTGGGTGGAAGAAAGGAACATGGAGGTGATGGGCAGCATCTGTAATAGGAAATTGCTGTCTGCAGATGTGTGTGTGAAGGAAAGCCTGTGTCAGACAACGGTATCAAGGGATAAATTCCACAAGTGAGTGAATCCATCTGAGTGTAAGACACAGGTTGTGCATTTTCCTCAAGAAGGAGCTGAACAGCTTCAAGAATATCAATCCACTTTATGAATGACTTGGTTTCCCTACCACTGTCCCTGCTTACTCAGTAGGAGAGAAGACAACAGGCAAATAAACAGATGTTTGGCTCATCTTGGACTAGGTTTTGACCTTATTCCCTTTGCATTTAGGTGGAGCTATACTGGCAGTTTTGCTTGAGTAAAGAGTTTGATTACATTCCTCTTTCGAAGGAACAATGTGAGAGTGTCCAAGCTGAAACACCTTCTACAAAATGCAGCCTTCTGTCCTGGCTGGCTCTTCAGGTGGGTGGTGTGCAGTGGGAGATGCTCCAGCTCTTTTAAAAGAATACTTTGCCCATGGAATACAATGGGGAGAAGCTTGTTACCACCTCTAAGTATAGAAATTTCTCCCGCCTTTGCTTCGCACAAATGGAAATCTGACTGTTCCTTCTAATCTTCCCCTGTACACCTGGTGTTGCAGTGACCAGTGACAACGTGGCCCTGATAAAGACTTCAAGAGTGGACCTATTATCTATATCCCAGAAACGCTCTGATCATGTGGGAATAGTTAAAGGTAAGAAAATATATAACAGGTCATCTGTCTTTCAGCTCTAGTCAGCTCAGAGGTGGAAACAGATTGACACAGCTGGGTGCAGCCATCCCACTGGAGCCTGCAAATGCCGGCCAGCGGAGCTGCAGCAGGCACAGAGCGCAGCCTGTGCAGTTCCCTGGGAGGCTGTTTGTCCGCAGGGGGTTGGCTGCCAGCTTCGGGGCAGCCAAAGCACTGAAGCTGCTTTCTTGCCAAGCCCCCTCCGATGAGATAGTGAGACTCAAAGCTGGGTTTGGTTCTCTGTCCTGTAGGCACGTGGGGTGACTTGACCTTTTGCTGATCCAGCAGTCCCTGCAGCCCCAGCATTGTGCTGAGATCAGTGCTTGCTGGCAGAGGCAGGGAGCTGGCTGGCACCTGGGAGCAAGGGATCTTTGGCACATGAGGTAATGCAGACCCTCTCTGCCACCTGGCCCTGATGCTGGGGAAGCAGCTGGATGCTGAGAGCTGCAAGCCGGTACACTGCTCTCTGGGTATTTGCTCGTACACACTATTGTTGTGGGCAGGCTGTAACCTCTGCCCTCCAGTGCAGATGGTTGCATGAAAACAATTAATCTTTTGGAGAGCAGTGAATGGAAACATTAGTGCCTCGACCCCTAACACAGGTGAGCATCACTGCCCAACGTGAAGGCCTGTGTGCACAGGGAGCTTTTGCTGACTGAGAGCTTTTGGAGGCTTGTGAGTCTCTAAGAAAATGCAGAGAAGGATGGAGAAATGGAGTAAGGGATGCAGAGAAGCACTGCATTCTCCTGGACAAGCACTGGGGTAGGAGCCTTGAGAAAAGCCAGTGAGCCCTGATGGGTGTGGGCTGGCCAAGGGGCTGCGGGGTGGGCAGCAAATACCCCTTGCTCTTATTTGTGCCGTGGAAAAGGCAGCATGATGTGGCTCTTTGCTCCTGGCAGATAACCTGGAAGCCATCTAACAAATACCCTAGCTTCACCTATTTCTTATCCCAGGGGGAATCAACCATCTGCAGTTTTGCTGGCTGTGCTGGACAGGAAGGCATAGTTCATTAGCAATTTATACGTTCAGTTTGTCTCCTAAAATGGATCTTTCCAGCAGCAGGGATGTGTCATTTCCCCGTTGAGATGCTCCTGCTTTCACAGTGGTGACTCCCAAGCCAATCACTCTCAGTTTGAGCTGGAGTTACCAGTGTATGTAAATGACATAAATAAGCTGCAGGAGCAGGGTCACATAACTGTTTTGTTAGGTTCTGCCCTGTCAGTCCTATGTCATGGATCCTGACAGAATATTAACGTTTGCATATGTAAATGTGTTAAAGAGAGCATCAGCTGAGGGAATACATTAAACCCAGTCGTCCTTCCAAGTTGATTTAATCTGACAGCACCTCCATTAAAAAAATAAAAAGCATCAGTTTTCCCTTTGTGACTTGATGTACAGTAATTAGCTTGTTAGAGCAGGAAACACCTCCTTTCATAATTGATTTTGCACCCCTTTTACTTGGATATCTCTGACAAGCTGTTTCTTTCTCCCCAAGGACACCATCAGTACTTCCCATGTGTTTGGAATTTCATGAATGTGAATAATGAATATGATTTATCCCTCCCACACTCCCATGCACGGATAATATATGTAGCCAATTTGTGAACTGAACCTCGCATCAGAAGGATGGGTGTCAAAGTATTAATAGTGCAGTGACCAACTGTGCACAGGAATTGGGGCCCAGCTAA